TCTGGTTGGGTCCTTACCTTGGACCAACTTTAGATGAAAAAGTATCATTCTAGCTCATTTCTATCAAGTTACTTAAAGTCTCAGCCTTTGGTATGATCCTTTGGGCAACAAATACACCCTTTCTGAGAATAGTTCCTCTCTGCACCTCTTTCTGTATCATACGTTGATTGTCTATGTAGTTTTTAATTGCAGAATCTTTTGTTTCTCTGCCCACTCAGTAGTTTTTTTATTCATAGATACTGGATGATGATGGAATTGCTGCTCCTGGGGAAATTATCAGACCAAATGACATATATATCAATAAAGAGTCTCCCGTACAGACAAGAGGACAAATTGTATCTCCAATGGGACTACCCGATAGGTGATTTTTTTGCTTTTCTTAAAAGAATTTTATATTACCATTTTGTCAACTAAAACAACTTATCTGGTGTAATGTCCAGTCACTTTCGGCCAACCAGACAGACATACAAGGGTCCTGAAGGAGAGGCATGTGTTGTTGATAGGGTTGCTCTTTCTTCTGATAAGAACAACAATTTGGTCATTAAATATTTAATTCGCCATACTCGTAGGCCAGAGGTAACAACTGTGTTTTGTCTTTTTGGTTCAATTCCTGTTCTATTTTCTCACTTAATATCTAATTTATTTATTTAGAATTGCGTTATAATGTTTGAATCAATTCCATCTAGTTTGAATTTGTTGAATATAGATTTCTGATTTCTACCTGGTTGGAAGAATTAAAAATTCATTTTCAAGGCATTCAAACTAGTAGTGGAGTTGATTCAAAGTTTAAAATTATGTTGAAGATGGTTGAGTAATAAAGTCAAAGAATATTATAGGAATTGAACGAGAATTTATCCAAACATTCCTTAAATATTTTTGGATCTTGTTTCTGCATTATGCTTTTAATTAATTATTCTTATAAATGATTCACTTAGGTCGGTGACAAATTTAGTAGTAGACATGGTCAAAAAGGTGTCTGTGGCACAATTATTCAGCAGGAAGATTTTCCATTTTCTGAGCGTGGTATTTGCCCTGATTTAATTATGAATCCTCATGGATTTCCAAGGTAAGTCTTGCAGACTTATAACTACTTTTGTCTATTTGTGATGTATATGTTGCACAAGAGATCACACAACTTAATTTTTAAAATAAAAGATCTTAACTATGTAAAGTAAGCGACTGGAAAAACTGAAGTATAAGTTCCTCACAGATATTTTGGAAGAAAAGGACAACCATCACCAAGAAAACACAACAAAGAGACAATGATAAGAAAGTGCAATCCATGATGGCACAACAATACAATTGCCATTAACTCATTAATGCCTTAATTGCCTCATTTGTGTACGTTAACTTCTATATAGAGTCATATCATGCCGATTATTAATCCAACTTGATACCCCATCCGTGTTGTATACATATTATGGATCATTTATATATTTTACTATGAATAATCATTTGTGTTAAGAAGAAATGATTATATATACATGTAATATTTTTTTATATATTTTCTTGTACGTTTTTAACAAAAATTGAAATGAATACAAAAATATACGTTATAAGTATGGTTTATATAATTTTAACGATAAATAATTATTTATATTATAGCTTTCATTTCCATTTAAAATTTTTTAATAATAAATAACTTTTTTCGTATTATCTTTAGATTAATAATTAGAAATAATTATATATATTTATAAATTCTTTTAAAAAGATGGCATTAACTACTATTAACAATATTACAACTTCATATTTTGGATGAGATAGCTAGGGTAAGATTTCTTTTGATATGTTATCATTTAAATTAACCCTATGACTTTTAATTTATATCTGTTATATATTATTATAATAGCTTTATGTTATATTTCTATAGTATAATGTAGTTTTTAATACATTGAATTTTAAATTTTATAAATTTAAAATAATTTAATAGATCATTTTTCAAAAAAATTCAACTGATTATTAGTAAATTTTATAAAAATTATTTCTATATTTGAAGTAGGTTCCGTGCATCTCAGATATATTACCTAGGTACTTTGAATAATAGACAAAGGAACTTCATCCTGAAGAAACAATGAGGTGACTCACATAGAGCCAATGGCACTATTTTCTTCCAAAAACTTGTCTTCTTTGGTAAATTGTTTTCATAAATATTCCTGATGAAGACCCGAAAGAACTTGTTGAGGCCAAAAATGCTGATAAAAAATCATGGCATTGTTTTCACTAATATACCTTAAACCAGCAGAAAAGTGCAGCTACTAGTAAGTCCTTATGCCTCTGAGTCTTCCCAGTACCTTGACAATGGGTGGGATGTAAAGGTCTCATGGTTAAAAGGCAGTTTAAAGTTGCAGGGTAACCCAAAGCTCTCCAAAATAGCAAAGGGCTATTGTAAATGTTGGAAACCACGCCAGTCCAAAATAAGTGACTGCCCCGCTCTGAACTCTGAAACACATTCCCAGGGCTTACACCTGAAAGAACTTTCCATACACAAAAAAATAATCACTAATTATGGTCTCAAGTCTGTTTGCAACTACTCTTTATCATAAAAGGTCATTATTTTCTTAAGTCTATTTGCAATGCTCAGGATCTGGAAGGAAGAAAGAACAGAGGCATACAGCACAACATTCTCGAAACCATCCACCTAAAGTGAAG